ATAGGCTCTATTCTTAACTATGGGTCGTCTGTAAACCGGGCATTCTTAACCTGGGGACTACCTGTACAATTAAAAGGTTCTTCACACCTCCCCTGGACACTGTCTGCACCTCCCCAAGGGAGGTACACCTCACAGTTTGAGAAATCCTGATCTAATTGATGTATTTCTTGAAGAAAGCATGCGATCTAACTGGACTGCATTGTAACAATTTAAAGGCATGCTTGCCTTCAGCACCTACATTGCCAATTTAAACAGTTCCCCATTACTTTATATCCAAATCATGCAACTGCACTTTAATCCCATTTTATTAATCTGAGTATGAAACTGTTAGATGAAGATTATGGGCTAAAAAACTGGAATTGTTTTGTCTGAACCAATCCTGAATAGTTATTCTATTTGGTAGACAGGGCTTATACTGAATACTCCTTCATAATCTGTAAAATAATTGAAACACATCTCATTCCATTTGCAACCTTGAAAACATATTTAAATCAACTTCGTAAAGTCTCATCCAGTTTAACCAAACCATGCACATAACCATTGTTTGATTATCAAATGACACAAGGTAACATCGGTTACTCTCAGCCATTTGGTATAGATAGATTTCCTATTAGGGAAGAGAAAAAGTGAGGGAACAAGTCTGCTTTGTGCAGAGCTAGTATACAAATGATTATGAATGACTGATGCGTTCAAAGAGAGAAGTAGCAGCAGCAGCCACCACAACCACTTATGTTTTAAATATCCAATTAGATTCATTCAATCGCTGTGCATATACACTTGGTGCCCAGCTAGGTGGCAGCACCTAGTCGATCTTAGCTGATCTCAATTTAAAAAAAATAGCTGGGACAGACCTAATTAGTATTTGGACAGGAGATCACCAAGGGGAAAAAAAAGCGGATCCAGCACATGTGGGAAAACCGCTAGGAAGGAGAAAAAAAAAAAAAGGAGATCACCAAGAAATACTAGGACTGTGGGCTACACTGGAAAAAACATCCTGGAAGAAGGCATGACATACATTGTCAAGAAAACTACATGGACATAGCTGCAAAGTCACACGAGTGGAGTTCTACTCAGAAGAATTTGTTAACTACACTGTCACTTCATTTTCAGGACTCATGCCTTTCCATGTTGCGTGTGGAACAAAACTGGGGGAAGATGGGATATGAGCCCAGATTTTGCTAGATTTCATTGAACTTTTACTTTGAGGTTTTCCTGAAAATAACGTGTACTGGATTCTCCCTTTTCTAAGGACTATTAAACTGAGCAGTCCAAACTAAAGCCCTATGCACATATATCTAGAAGCCTTATTGAACCCAATGGCATGTCCAAACAGACTGTGTAGGATTGCATTTTTATTCGTTTAAGTCACCAAGTACTTTGAGCAAGATTTCAAATTCGTGCAATATCCCATTTAGGGCAAGGCTTAGTTGTCTGCTAAATTATAAAGCCCATTATCCCTTAATTTTAAGAAATAAAGGTGAAATTCAACAACCTCTGGAAAAGACTTATTTGGATGTTTCTGAATTCAGCGGAGTTGCTAAATAAAGGGGTGGCAAAGTTCTCACAATTATGTAAAAAGTTTTAATTTTGTAATACATTGCATCTCCAAATTTTGTTCCAAGGCCCACTAATATGCTGAATTGCCTGTATACTATTAAGTTGCCTTCAATTATATACATAGAGTGGGATAATTAAAATTGTACTATAGTTGTTATGTTTTTAAGAAAGGTTATTTTAAAGTTTGCGTAACAATAATGGAGAATCACAATCCTCCAAAATGCTAGTTCATTTCAATGATGTCATATGACAAGCTAAAACAGACACGACGATAAACACATAACTGCCTCTATGTTGTTTCATTTTTTCCCCCTTTTTTCTCTTTAAGTAACATTTCTGCAGCATGGAGAATCAGTGTGATTCAAAGAGAAGAACAAGATAAATATACACATCACGTTAGTCCAACTGACATTGCCCCACGTAAGATGAAAGCTTGGAGACATTTTTTCTCAAGAAGGATGATATTTTCATCTTGAATGTAGCAGGGAGTAAAAGGTACAAAAATAAGTTTTTCTTATGCCCCTTAATCCCTATCATGAATAATACCATCTACAGACATTGTAAGAAACAAACTGGGGGTGTCAAATGCATCAAGATATCTAGTTGGGCTCCACTGCTCTGGTTATTCTATTTCATTCTCTTTTATATCTATTTTACTGCTGCTGTCTCCTGGTGGATCGTTTACATGAACAACTGGTAGGTTTTTTGGTGGGAGGAAAACAGGTTCTTCCATGGAGGAAGCAGATTACCTGAACCCTTTCCAGTCAGGATTCAGACTGGGACATAGTACTGATATGGCTTTGGTCACTCTTGTTGATGACCTGTGGTAAGCCCAAGACAAGGGTGGTGCGTCCGTCCTGGCTCTCCTTGATCTTTCAGCAGCCTTTGATGCCATCGACCATGGTATCCTTCTGGGGGGTTGGGAATGTGAGGCACCATTTTTGCAGTGGTTCTCCTCCTTCCTCCGTGGTCAGTTCCAATCAGTGTCAGTAGGAAGGGAGTGGCTCAGCCAGAGGCCCCTGTTTTGAGGGGTGCCTCAGGGGTCCCCCTCTTTTTCATGTATCTACATGAAGCCATTGGGTGTGATCATTTGTTGGTACAGGGTAAGGTATCATTAATATGTGGATGATACCCAGTTATACATCTCTGTTCCCAGTCAGCCGAGTGAGATTGTTGAGGTTCTGTCCTAGTGTCTGGAGGCTGTGAGGGTCTGGATGGGGAAGAACAGGTTGTGGCTCAATCCTGCCAAGACTGTGGTAATGCGTTTTGGGTCGCCTGGATCTGGGGGTTGGTTCTGGATGGGAAAGCAGTACTCCATTCAGACTTGGCATACAAACTGGGGGTTCTCCTGGATTCACAGCTCCTGCTCAAAGAGCAGGTGGCAGCTGTGGCCAGGGAAGCTTTGCACAGCAGCATCTTATGTGCCAGTTGTGCCCATTCTTTGTCCACGCTCATCGTCACCCACCCCCTAGTCATGTCTCAAATACATAAGGAGTGGAGCTTGCGTCATGAGGTCACAACACGTTTCATCATTTTGTCATCAGCATAGCTAGCTGAGATGTAGCGAGATTGCAAACATGTAATACATGCAAGGAGACCTAAGAATAACTCTGAACTAGAAAAAGAGTGGGAGGAAAAATCCA